TGATCAAAGTTTGGCACCCAGTCATAGGAGTGCTTATATTGATTTTCTGACATCTTGTTTTCTGTAAAGATTTTATTGGTAGGTTTGCAAATGTGTATCAGACTGTGCAATCTCTCCATGAGTTGGTTTTGAAAACCAGTATGGGATTCTGAGATACATTACCAAAGATATTATTACAAGATAAATCATTTGCTTCATTGAACACATACAACAATGCATATTTCCACTGAGATCAGTGACCTTTGATGTGTATCACCAGTGATCAGTCAGGTAGAAACAGTCAAAATATTTTATCAGATTTTCTCAATTTTTGCATGATATTTTCATACAGGACATCTGTTGTTCAAACTCAGGGAAGACTTTATACTGATGAATAAGGTGACCAAGTTTGATAAAGTTTGGAATAGAATTAGTGAAGTTATTCTGCACACAATAACAATTATTAACGACGACAACAACAACGACGACGACAACGCCGGACAAAATTTTTCCCTTAATATACCTTTCCCTTCCATCTTTGATGGTACGGGCAAGGTAAAAATACAACATGTATATTTCTGTAGTTATGTGTTTTAGGATATATAAATATATATAAAAAGATTTGGAAGACATCCAACAGCTAATAGTAAAACTTTACAAATAATACAAATACATTTTTAAAGTTCCAATTTGAAATCATTCATAGAGCTTTTCTTAGAGTCTTGGGATGGTATACATTTGGTGTTCTAAATTTACACAAATTATGGGAAATATTTGCTAAACATTCAATATTTAATGATTTCAGTACAAACGAATGTTACCGATTTGATTGTTTGTTCAAATTTTATTATCTAATGCTTCCGAGTACTGTTCCGAGGCGTATGGATTCATAGGGATTTGTCTCTGGAGTATACAATTCATGCATTCCATCATAACAGTTCCAATACTTTAACAAAAGCTTTGTAAATGCTCCCAGAATGCAATTTTAAACACTCATAACAAGCAATATAAAAATTGAATCATAAAATACCAATGCTCTCAAATATTAAAATAAGGTAACTCATCATTTCCGATATTTCCAAAAAAAAAATAGCATACATCATTCATTACATGAAACTCAAACCACCATGTCTGGGATATATAAAAGAGGGGAGCCAAGGGGGGTAGCTGGTACGGTTTTACGAGAAATAAAAAGGGCTTTTCACAATTTACGAAGAAAAAAAAGACGTTTTTACAGTGTTAACAAATGGAACATTGAATGGTCCGAAGAGCTCTCCGACTCAAATTCTCCACCATTGCTGCGCCGTGTGAAGAGACGCATGCGCATATTACCCTCGTAATGCTCTTCATTCGGTTAGAGGGCCTTTTACGTCTTGACATTCAATTTTGTAGTGAATTGTGTCATCTAGTCGTTTTACAGTTTCTAAAATGTAATTTCCCTGGATTATTCTTTACGATTTTTTATTTGGATGTGAATTTTTGTACGTACGAGAAAAATGACACATTTTTACAGTGTACGAACAAAATATTTGATTGATTACGTTGTACGTCTAGCCTGTGATTACAGAATTACGGAATTTATTTTTTTTATTTACGTTGTACGAACAAAAAAATATTACAATTACGTTGAACGAAAATAACTCTTGCCTCCCCCCCCCCCCCTCATAAAACTTACCCTGATGTAATAATGGGAGTTGCAAACTAAGAAACAAGGACACAACTCGCATCACCGGATCAGATTATATACAACTGACACATGGACTAAAATTGACACATGATTATTCTGATTTGGAATCCAACACATTTGCATATAGGAGGTTCACCTGCTAACGAGTCAAAGTTATGTAAACACACAATCACAGATTGATTTTGTTCAAAATTTAAATTAAATAAAAAACTATTAATTATTTAAAAATAGATAATATCACACTAACATTTAGTGGGAAATGTACCAAAGGTTTTTTAAGTAAGAAGCTAGTTGCCGTGTAGTAACAATTAACACAATGCACACTGTTCAGCGGATATTGACTACAATCGCATGTATTATCCAGTCAAATTATACAACACATTTTATTCTCCATTTGTGAAACATGTCTCTGACAATTGTAATGCTCCCAGCCCTACCCCATGAAAATCCACTATTGAAATTAAGTGTTAGTATTCCATATTAGTTTGGAATTTAATTACGTACACATTATTTCATAGCAGTATTTTTATCTTAATATCATGAGTGTTTTTTCTATTTTTTGTTTTCAGGAGCAATTGACAGATACATGTAACATGCTTATATTTCAGGGGAGATCTGCACCCAGCTGCTATGTAGTAAATTTTTTGACAGATTTTAAAATTTTGGCCTAGAAAATGAGCCCCCTCAACCATAATGTGCAAGTCCTGAATTGCCCATCATACAAACTACTTTAGCTAATCCATGCCAAATAAACCACTACACGAGGGCAAATGCAGACAATTTATGGAAATTAGCTAGTTTGATCTGTCCACGAATTTTCGTTATTTACCACAGTCCTCAAAACACAGCTTTCATCTAATATTTGCCTCAAATTATTACTAATCACCTTTACTCTTGAAATCTACGTGAACCTGTAAGAACTTGGGAGCTATAGTATAAACGAATAAATACAAACTTTTTGTTAACATTTGCTTTAGACATGGCATGAGACGTACATCACAATAATAGATTTTACTGTTTACAGGTTTATCCTATCTGGGAATGGGATAGGAATGTTACTTGGACATGAATAGGTACAAAATACTACCATAACTCTACTCAATATATACAACAAGACATTTAAACAGGAAACTAGGTCATGTGACCATGTCACATGACTGGGGATCGATCACAAGATCCACCACTCACAACCACTGTGAACAATGACGAACTTGTAATAAAATATACCATACAAAAATTATAACTGGCAGGCTATGTAGGTGAAATATGAAAAAAAAAAATTAAAAATATTATTGCCTCTATTTACTGCCTGGGGTTGCTAACGCCTTGCGGGCCATGATCTTAAGGTACAGTAGTGCATTGTGGGCAGCTTCTGCACGGCAATCGTCTACAGTTTGACCGGTACCATGACAGACTGCCACAGGAGTGGTGGACAGCTGGACAAGACATTGATGTTGGCCACTCTGGCTTAATTCTTCTATAGGAATATACCGAACTTCAAAATTTTGTTCTTCTGCTAACTCTTGGAGTAGTGTGCAATAATTGGTATCTATAGAATAAAGACAATTATAAGAAATGATGTTTTTAGAATATTATAAATTATTTGTTTTTGTCGTAGAAAAATAACAACCATAGTAGCATACGTAAATACTGTAAAATGACTAATTTTTACTGGGTTTAATTTCACTGATTTACTATTTGAGGCATATTCAGTGGGTTTTAAATTCACGGTTTTATCATTTAGATAATGTGTTCTATGCTCAATTTTATATATATTCACTAGGTTTTAATTTAGTGCATTTATATTGAATACTGGTAGAATAGAATAATTGATGTAATTTTGTGAATTAGTTTCCTGAAAACTATACTAGCCATGATACAACACTTTACCAATCCCTTACCTGGTACACTAAGTGAAGATGATTTCAGCCTGGTTACTTTCTCTCCTGATGGGTTATGAAGTGATCCCCATAATGTTAAACTTTTACTTTTAGATATGTTGCTAGGCACCTATAGTGAGAAACAAACAATCCCTGTAACAACACATCAACCTATGTGATTCACAGTATCACTGAGTAGATATTCAATACTCTGTCTCTATGAGGCCGAGATTAGAAACAAGGACTGAAATCTGGCAGTGATACCAGGATCTGAACCTTAGAGTGAATTTGCTTTCATTCTACTCATAACAATGCGAGAACAGATTGTAATCTTTATTTCTATGTAGCTGAAGATATTAAGTATATTTCTAATCCTGTTCTACAAGCATTTACTCAGCTACGATTCACTTTATACTGGAGTTGAGATGCATTGTTTCACATTTATAATTCACACAATTTGTTATCAGAATCCTGGATGTGAAGACAACTCTGAAAATTTTGCCCCTTCTAAAAATTCAACCAAATAATTATTTAGTAGATTTTCATAATTTATTGACTTCTAAAATTTTGAGCAATCACAGAATTGTGCATTTTTTGTTTTATGTTACTTTTTACGTCTTGTTCTTATCAAATTTAATTTAGGCCTTAATTACTGAGAACAATCGCTGTTTAACTAATAAAAACTGTGAAAGAATCAAAAGCATCTCACAAATGATGATCTACACCTAGACATACGCACAGAAATAACTTACTGAGATTTTAACAGCATTGCTTATTTTCCAGTAATGGTTTGTTAAAAAAATGTTAAATCTTTGAATCAATTTGCTATCTCAAGTGATTACAGCAAATGCATGTCACCTAACATTTTGTAATCTCTGATTTTTTTTCTCTGAAAATCAGTCAAGATTTTAATGTCATTTTAAATTTGTTCTAAAAACCTGGACATTTTTCAAAACTAATTATTAGATTGTGATAAATTTTTTTTGGTAGATCAAGATTTGATACAAGATTGAAAAGTTGTCAAGTATGGGTATGATAGGTATGCATGACTTGACTGCATTTAATGAGACGAGAACAAAGCAAGAAATGTATAAACTGACTTGACTGGAACAAGTGGAAATTACTGATTGAATGATTCAATTTTACTCTTATAAACTAATGAATATGTAACTATAGTAACTATTTCATGTTTGTTTACTGGAAATGGTGCACCACCGTGAACTACATGTTCAACACTGGTGAAATATTTTGTGAATGAATTTTATTGATACACTCAACCATAAACTTGTCAAAGCAAAAGCATGTGATTTTGTCACCATAATTCAAAGACAGAACCTGTTCACATGAATGGTACATGCTGTCACATGGATGGAACATGCTATTCACATGCACAGAACATGCTGTCACATGGATGGAACATGCTAATCACATGCACAGAACATGCTGTCATATGAATGGAACATGCTAATCACATGCACAAAACATGCTGTCATATGAATGGAACATGCTAATCACATGCACAGAACATGCTGTTATATGAATGGAACATGCTAATCACATGCACAGAACATGCTGTCACATGAATGGAACATGCTAATCACATGCACAGAACATGCTGTCACATGAATGGAACATGCTATTCACATGCACAGAACATGCTGTCATATGAATGGAACATGCTAATCACATGCACAGAACATGCTGTCATATGAATGGAACATGCTAATCACATGCACAGAACATGCTGTCACATGAATGGAACATGCTAATCACATGCACAGAACATGCTGTTCACATGGGCAGAACATTCATTCAGAACAGCATTGAATTTAAAAAGATCAGAAAACTTACCCCTGCACCGGTGTCAAGTTCATAATCAGCTGGTCCAATTTCAGCATCAGGAGGTAGATCTTGAATTCTTTGCAGCATAGCCCAGGCAGCAGCTCTCTTCGCAATCTTTTTTGACCTTCCTTTACCTGCGAATACACATTACTTGCATCAACTTAAATTTTACATGAACAAGTATCACCATTTTTTTAAAATAAAGTTTACTACAGTATATGTACATATAGTAATATAAATGAGTTTTTTAGTGTAAATTTTATAATCTTTACCTTGTTCTTGGAAACTATGCACTCTACATGCAATGATGAATTCCCGGGAATGTGGGGGACCACATTCACTAATCTGGATATAGTCTGGTCTTCTCCAGTGCCTGGCTACAACAAGCTCCTGTAACTGCCCAACGGGGTTGCCTGGTATGCCATCATTGTACACAGAATTTCCATCAGCCTCTGTGGACCCATTACTGAACATATTTAAATAGTACAAAACAAAGAACATAGTCAAAATACCGAAGTACAAATTGAGAGGTAATTTTTCGGATGCTCAAGGGATACATTTAAGAAAAATATAACTAAGCGTATGAATTATTTCATAGTGAAAATCCAGTGAAGCATGATACTTAGTGGCATATATGTATAAAAAAAAGGTACCTGGCATCTTGTGAAGGTGTTGATGGTTTGGGAACCGATACATTAAATTGCTCTAAAACATTTTCAGCTGCATTATGCTTCGCTTGTTTTTTGCTGGTCCCATCGCCATTTGCTGTGTGCTCTCCAACGGTTACACGATATACAAACTTGGGCTGGTGTGCAGCACCCTCGCAGGCTATAAGGTCATAAATTGGGGTTAAAGAGCGCTTAGTGCACAACTCCTGTAGGATGCTAATTGGAGTTTTCATTGGTTTAATTGGACCATCCATCCTGTTTTACAGAGAAAAATTAAATATAGTTATTGTAACAAATAATTACACATGCTCTGTAATTTATGCATGATTAAGAGTCAGATACATACAAGGTAGAATTTGTTTGAGGGTTGACAAGGAGTATATTCGTAAGCTGTAATCAATTCTTTTTATTTTCGTAACAATGTAATTTAAATACATAAAAAAAAACGTAAGTGTAAAGCTATTTTATGCACTGTAATTTGTACAAAGTACTTATTTTTTGTAAGCGTATAATGCATTTTCCAAATTAAATGTCGTAATTCATACGCAATTTCCAATTTTGATTCTTAAACACAAACTATCAAAATTAAAAAAATGTGATTAGGAATTTGCTTTATCCATTTTTTTACTGTAAATAGAACCTTTATTTAATTTCTTTTAAAAAGGTAAAATGATGTTTTTATTTCCTGTAACCTGTACCAGCTATCCCCCCTTGCCCTACCCCCTTTCTTGATTTTCAATAGCAAATTTTGTTGTGTATATACCAGGGCTTATATGTAAAGTTTTATACATCTAAGCTGACTATTAAATGAAATGATGATAAATACAACATACACTGTAACATAGAGAGAGCATGACAAATTTGTAATACAGATCATTGGAAGGTACAAAACTGACTGCATTGTATTATTGCTAGTGATCTTCCAACGGTGGACCTTAGCATGTACGAGTACCCAGTGAATAAAGTTTTATGGAAAATGAATTACAGTGTCTTGTGTCTACAAACATTGTGACAAAAATCAAACAAATCAATCAATTAAGTAATTAAGCAAAATATTCCAGAGAGTGGATGATGAGAATTGTTTTTAATGTTGAAAATACCAGAACGACTTAATGAAATAGACACATGTATCAATTGTGACGCTTTTAGCAGGTATTAAAAGGTGTAGGAACACTGGGGTTTTGATTCATATCTACTACTACTCCTGGTACTACTAATTTTATTGCATCCTTAAAAATACAGTGTTTCTATCATTTTTTAGCAACAAAGATGAAATACAAACAGCAAATATGATTTGCAAGAAGCTGAAATGTTATAAAACGTAAAAATAAAAACATACATGTCACTATCACTAGAAAATATTTCTAATTGAATGAAAGCTGATGATCTGTAATGATTTGTATTTTTTTATAAATACATTTATAATGGAAAAGTAACATAATGGCAATGTACATAATAAATAATGTGTTTTGATAAGGATTAATAAGATGGAAATTCAAATTGTGTACATTTTTCATTTTTTGAGTGATTAATCTTGACTCTGTTTTCGCAATCAAACCATTCAAGTGTCCACTGAATTCTGTGATGCCATGGTAACTTGATGATTAGGGGTTAGGCTTCGCACTTGTGATTTATAAATATGCCCATTTAACTACATGTAGTACATAAACACTTATAAACACTAACGACATGCACACTGTTTATGCTTCTTCAAGAAGACTGATTTAAATGAATTTTTTAAAAAAAGTATATTTATAAAAATAAAAAAGTTTACGACTCGGTTAGCCTCGCTCAACTCGTTCATAACCAGTCTTGTGATTGGTTGTTGACACATTCTGAATAGGCCACTCCTCCAACTGTGCCGTGCTTTCGGAAAACCGTTAATTATTCGTAAATGGAGTCAATTTTTGTAGTTTTCTTGATTTATTCTAGTGATATCGATAAAATAAAAGTAAGTCTTTGGCGAAATTTGAAAGAGCAACTAATTATTGTTCAAGCTAGTATTTTTCATAGATTTTATTTTTCATTCAACTCGTCTGTTTTTTCGAGTTTAAAACATATGGACTCACTGAAGCCTTCATCCCATTCCCTTGTCTAGCGGTATTTCTTACACTAGATACCAGCCAATACCCCCCCCCCCCCCCGCAGATAGGGACTGTGTACAGTTGATTGATTATAGTTCCTGGGCTACCTGCGAATAAACATGCCTTTGCCGACTTCAGTGTAGCATTATATAAATTATTGTTAGGAGGCAGTAAGATTGAAAATTTGGATGACGCCATAAACGGTAATGCAACATACGATAATATACAATGTACGCTATGTCCATTGCTCGTCTATGGGTATGCATTAGTAATTTTAAATACCCATTGTTGAGCAAACAAACGCGGCGTACACATACCGGTGCCAATCGTACGCTGTCATTTGCAAACTTGCATCTCGGAGGCAGATCGTAAATGAACGCAACCATGATATCTGATGCAATTAATTTACCTGCTTCTGAACTTTAGTGCAGTGTTTTTGTGGATATTCTGCAAAGTTATTCCGTAATATGAGCGGTCGAACAACGCAAATCAATCCAGGATAGTAGTCGCCATTGCTGTGAGATCATTGGTCGATTCACTAACGATGAGGGCAGAATTTACTAAATCAAAATGGCTGCGCCCATGACCCACATTCGCTACTTGACTACTTGAGAAAATAACCGCGTTCTTCCAAAACACCGAAAAATTGCTATAGTTCAAGTGTTGGATCACCTCCGTGCTCAGAGTAATTGCTGTTTTCAAAGAAGAGTATAACGTAGCAAACGCGCAATATAATACAGTTAAAATAACGCCACGCCACGCCACTTCGGTCGACGATCACTACCCATCATGGCTTCACTGACAAGGCTTGTTGTGGGCAGGGTTGCACCGAGAACGAGGATGTGCCAAGGCTATTCCGTATTTCGGCGTTCGATAAACTTTTCATGTCACGTTCAAAGCCGGTTTATTTCGAGAAGAAATAATAACTTTAATACCGTTGATAAACACTTGTTTTGTCAGGAATCATTTTTTGGTTATCAATGTGGAGATAATATGTTAATTAAGTTAAATTGTCGTAGACATTTTTTTAAAAATACTGTGAATACAGCGGGACACAACAAGTGGTCTAAAGTCAAACACGTAAAGGGACCGAAAGATGCAGCCAGGGCTATGGAAATCAGTAAATTACAACCGAAAGTCAAATACGCTGTTCAAAGTGAGTTTTATTGGAATTAAATATTATAGTATCAATCTCTGCGTCTGGTTGGGGTTTTATAATATAAGGGGTTGACCATTATAAACTGTGGGTGAGGTGTTTATTGGGCGTGGTTGAGGAATCGCGACAGGAAAAGATCAGAAAACAATCGCACATATGGGCATTGACGTTTGTTGACACAAGTCTACTTGGAACTTGAAGAATCACACCTTTTCTGTTTTGATAAAACAATAATATTCGAAAATAACATTTTTGAGGACACGAATTGCACCAGATATTGTAAAATGACTAATATTCACTGGGTTTAAATTTCACTGATTGAGCATTTCAGGCATATTCAGTGGGTTTTAAATTCACAGTTTTAATTATCATTTAGATAATGCTCAATTTTACATATTCACTGGGTTTTAATTTAGCAGAAAGATTAAAAAAAGCAAATTGGGCCAGGAAATTGTTCCAGACATTGAATGTCCCTGTTATATTCCTGAAACCATATTCTATGTTTGGAACTGTGCAAAGGGCTGTAAATTACCCTACAGGTTCACAAGCTATAAAATAGCCCTTTGACCCCAACCAAATGCCCTTAAATAACCTTGAAGACTTGCTATTGTATCAATATTACTCTATCATTTATGTGTTTTGGGATTTATATTTTTTGTTGATCCTAAAATTGACAATTTTGGACCATTGTATATAATAAATAAATTTGAGGACACAAATTGTACCAGAAATCACTAAATACAAAAAGAAAGACCAATTCAAAAAAAGCTATGAAGTCCCAGCTATTCATTATAAAGTACGTCATTAGTGGGCATTATATTAAAGCGAAGGAGTCGTCACCTGCGCATGCGTCAGATGGCCATAGCATGTCATTGTTTACAAACAAGCGTTTTTTGCGTGGTTGTTACTGTCGCTTGTGCAGGCGACTCCCTCTCGCTTTAAAATCTTTATTATTATATTTACCTGAAAAGGAATGCCACATTATCTTTACGGTGTTAATAAAGAATTCTATTCTATTCTACTAAAGACGTACAGTATTTATGTATTGGTTTACATAACTGTTTACTCGCCAAGAGACATGTCACTAATGATCAGTTTTGTTATTTTGTTTTTAAGGTAAATTCGCATATTCTTGTCTTTGATTATACTTGCTCGTCATGGCAACAAGTCAAGTCAACTTGATCAGGTTGTTTTCATTTGTCACTTGAAATTTTTAAAACATTTATAAATATTGTATATAAAAAAACTTTCATGCCTTCATGAAATTCACTGTACAATCAATCATTGTGACATCAATGTGACTATGCAGCATTGTCATTTTTTTTTCGAATGCAATTCTGGATTTAAACCAATGATGTAACAGATAAAAAAAAGAATGTCTAGATATTAATTATGTTATTTACGTACATGCTCCCAATTTTCAAATAAAATTTGTAATTTTCTGCAAAACTTATAATAATCACATTTTTATTATTAAATTTCTAGCGGGTGGATCTGATGTAACTAATAATGCCATATTAGCAAGTTTACTAGAATATGCCCATGCAAGAGGAATACCTAGATCTTCTATTGAATCCATGATCAAATCAGCTGTTAGTATATTTTATTTCTTTTCTTATTGTTTAACAACGTTGGTTGCTATGGCTGAAACAAATAAAGCTATGTGGTTTCAATAACACCTACATTTCTGTTAAAAACACACATAAGCCAAACATTGAATTACACGTGGGATCATTCAAATATGACTAGACAAGAGCATGCACTAAAAGGAAAAGAAAAAATTATTTCCCCTTTCTTAGCAGCTACATACATGGTGTATTGGATTGTAGAAACACAACTTACTATAAAAATTACTTTATTTTATTTTACTTATTTTATTAATTTTCGCTGAAAAGACATTTTGGGTGTTTCATTCCTTCAGCAAAAAGTATTTCAACCGGTTGAGACACAACTCTACTATATATTTAAATATGTGTACTTCTAATAAATATGGTACAGCACTATGGTAATTAGTATTCAAGACAATATACCTGTAACAGCCATATCGTTCAGATTATATAATCGTCAATTGTAAATCACGAATCTACAAGAAATAGTTATCTTTACTTTTGTTTCTTTCACTTTGCAGGCTGGTTCCAAGGCAGCACCATCGACATCAATCTTGTGTGAAGTGCGAGGACCAGCGGGTTCCTGCCTCTTAGTTGATGTGTTGTCCGATAACACTAATCGTACAAGAACTGAACTGAAAACCTTGTTACGTAAATTAGGGTAAGCTCAGATTTTTCCATATCAATTTATTATGGTATGATATTTATTGTCATAGTGGGTGAGGTTTATTGTGTTGGTTGTTACCTGGTGACAAATTTTCCATTGGTTACTGACACATAAATATTCAGCACGACATGTTTTTTTGTAATGTCAGATATTCACTTTTCCAATTTGTCACTGTGGGACCATGCTTATTACAAGTCATCTGAAGCTGTTCTTTTAGGACAGTCAGTGTGGAATGGAGTGCTTTTGTTTGTAATGAAGTGGTAAGGTGTTATCAGTGATCTGAGTTTGAATCCTGCATTAGGTATTGTGATCCATCTACATGGACAGCTTTTTTTCATTCAGAAATTGTCATTAAATTTGCGATTTCGAAAAATTAATTAAAAACATGTGACTCGTACCCAACTGACACCAACGCAGTGACCAGAAACATTAATACTATTTTTTCTAAGTATAAGGGTGAGCTACTTTTAATATATCATTTCATTGAATGTTTGTTCTCTTTCAAAAACTAAACATAGATGTTCCTTGGCAGAGCAAGGTTCAGCCTTGTATGCATTCTCACATAAAGGGGTTATCAGAGTACCTCAGTCATCTATACTTGTAGATGAAGTTCTTGATGTTGCCATAGAAGCAGGAGCTGAGGATGTGATGGAGACTGAATACGAGAATGAAGAGCAAGTTTGGATGGTGAGTGATGATGGTCATGAATTGTAGTGTACTTTTTTATAATACCTATTAAAGAACATTTAAATAACGAGGTCCATGAGACTCTGCTCCTGGAATAAGATTTTCGTTACCAGGAAAATTTTAAGTCTTCAAATGGCTATGAAAAGCCTTGTTTGTTGAAATGATGTAAATTATCATAGACAAATACAATGTTGGTCTGATTGCATATCACTGGTGATTTGTAGGCCTTATGTTTTGGTTTGTACAATCTTTTATTTGGATGAAATTATATATTTGAGTAAAAAATTCCTGGTAAAATACAATGTTTTTTTCAAATGATATATATTGATCTGAAAATCATGGTCTTTATCACCCAGTGGTATTTGGAAGGTTATAGTAATTATCAGCGTCTAAGCCAAATTTTTATCTCATTAAAAATATCATATGGAGCCCTATTGTATATATTATAGATGCTTGTAAAAAAAGCTTGTGGGGGAAAAAAAAAGATGCTGGAGGAATTTGCCATATCTTTCTTGTTAATTATATTCATTTCTTTGTTACAGTTCATGTGCGAACCAAAAGAATTAAGGAGTGTCTGCAATTCACTAAAGTCGCTTAATTACAAACCAATATCTGTCAGCCTGGAATACATTGCAGAAAACACAGTAATACTCAAAGATTCTGAATTAGAGAATGCAGCTCATATCATATCACAGCTTTCAGATCATCCTGATGTAGTTAAAGTATATGACAATATAACCAGCGAAAGTTAACACATATTCTACAATCCCTTTTTTTTTTATATCATATATTTACTAATGTGACAACATACCATGACTTACTATTCTATAAATATTACTCTTATCATTCGCATGTTTTGAGATTTATCTTTTGTTGGTTGGTGCAAGTTGATCATTAGTTTTGGTCCATTGTGTAGAATAAATATTAGAGTGTGTTTATTTTTGGATTTTATAAAACCCATGGTGACATACAGATTTTAAAATAAAGTGAGATGAATCTGCATTCTTGAAATATACAAAGTGTAATTGTACAGCGTCTGTAGTTTCCCCAATCAAGAATGATATAAATCTATTTAAAATCAGGGTTTGAAATTTGTGGATACCCATTTTAGAAATCACAATGTTTATATTCCAGGGGCATTGCTACTTGCCTCGAGATGCATGTAGAAATACTAGTAGACCAGTGATTTGTAATATTTGTTTATATTAAAAAATCAATGAAAATTATTGAAAACTGGGACTTGTGGATTGACCTCTGTGTGTGCATCTGTGTCAATATCTTAGACATGCCTTGGCCGACTACTATCAAGATGGCAAAATTGTGGCCATTTCTACATTCAAGAACCAGATCTTTGCTATTTGCAGATGGATTATGTTAAAACTTGGTACATACATTAGACATTATGGGACCATTATGGGACCTTGATGCACGCCATTTTGTTTTCAGATCGGATTCAAAATAGCCAACTCGCGGCCATATCTCTGAACGTGCTTTGACTGATTATGTTCAAATTTCATAGATTCAAAATGGCAGATTGGTGGCCATTTTGTTTTAATGTTTGCTGTTCCAGAGCAATATCTCATTATGAACAGAATACTGGTATGATGATCAGATACAAGATGACTGAATGTCAAACATTTTAATTTTAAAATATCATAATCAAGCATTTGCTTCTGGATACATGTTTATGATCCAACTATATAACTATATATCTTAAATTTGCTAACTAATGGGACTGCCATGGATGGCTTGTTTTTTAAGTTTTGACCCCTGTAAATCTGAAAAAGTTCAACAGGTAATTACTGAAGATGAGAAAGATTTCACGAAATGTAGTGCAAGTTGTTTGGAAAGTCCGAAAGTAGTTTTCAAAGATTATATTTGGATTCGAGGTCCTTATTGAGATTTTCCTAAACATACCAGAATGGTGTGGTGTAGATCGCCGTCTCTACAGAAAGTGAGCATGTGTATTGCTCTGTGCTAATACACTTGCAGCAGGATTTTTCGAACTAAAGCCAGACACCAGGTCCTACGGAATCCTATATTGTATGATAATGTAACAAATATCCAAAAATGGGTATTCGTTAGCTTTTCTCTATTTTTTTTGTAATTTTTGGTAAACTTATTTTCAACTCTTGAAAACTATTAGGTATGTAGGTACAGTCAGATTCGTCATTTCGAGGAGAGTATTTTTTTTTGACTTCTTGAAAACCAGTTGCTTTTATGTTATATTTAAGCACATTGGGTGCACCTTTATTCTCTATTTTTGGTAAAGAAAGATACATTTCAATACTTGTATTATTTTTGTGAACAATCTTCTCAACAGCCAAAATCAAAATAGTTTTTGTGTGCGTTCTTGTAGAATAGTGGAGCTATTTCAACAGTTTGTTTTTGACTTCCTAACTGGTGGATTTAAATGCCCAAGAATTGAAATTGCATAGTGTTTATAGGCAATTTAACGAAAAGACAAAGGATTTATTATTGATTGATGGTTTAATTTATTTATTTATTTATTCAATAAACTCGCTCATAAAACTTATTCATTCAAATAAGCTAATTTGGTTAACTAATTACAAATCTGGAAACTCCTGTCATTACCTAGAGCTAGATAACTGATTTTTTCAATGAGATGCAAGCCAATGTTGTACATGTGTGGAGGCTAAAGCATGTAGACAGCATATAATGGAACAAAAATGGCACAAAAAAAGGTCCTAGTTTTCTTATCTCGTACCACTGTTCGAGAAGAAGATTTTCTACTTCAAAATAAGTTATTTAAAAATAATAAATTAACAAAACAAAAATGTATTAATAATTAAAATAAACCAATTTAAATGCTTTTAAACATTGTATCTTTCAGAAACAAAATCAAGAGTATGTTTATTCACATTTTGACAAAAGGTATCAGAAAAATTGAATTTAAAATCAATAAAAATAATATTCAATACTGCACAAGTCACAAATAGGTAAAATTTCACAACAAAAATTGCTACATATTTCAGGGGACATTGGAAAAACTTGTAGTTAATGTAATATGCAAATTAGCAAGTAAAACCAATTTGATCTGCAATATTGCTCCTGACAATCCAAAAAATTTATGGTCACATCACCACGATTAGAATGTCGGAAACATGCACAATGAATATACACCTTTATTCCAAGAAAATAATACACAATTCATACTAATTGAAATTACAAGGTTTAAATTTCAGCTAAATGGAAGTTTACTGTGAGCCCAATTTGTTTCTTAGACCCATCCAGCAATATCAGCAGCTTATTGGCTGACAACACAAGCTACATTGCAAGAAATGTGGCCTTCAAATCTGATTATCTAGTGGCTACCTGAGAGCAGCTTGCAACACAGCTGTATTAAATTATAATATTTCTGGTTAGGTGTGCAAAACCATTTCACAGCCACAGAAAATAACATCTGTCCAATATATACAACACTGGTCTGTTTCAATATATAACTCTATATATTATGTAATTTCATGATTTAAGACATGACATATCCCTCACTAAAAGTGGTTATTCTAAAGACTTGCTTTATTTGTTACAAAAATATGTACATACTAAGTAAATTCCCAATCAATTTACATTGTCCATAAACAGCCTTCTGATTTGCATAGGAACTTCTATTTAGTGACGAGTTTCTAAGTCTTAGAGAGCAAGTATGGTAAATATAACAGAAATTTTCAACATCATTAAACTGTCAATAAAACATTGTACGTTTTGCTTGAATACAGATAAAAATACTTATTTACACAATGAATGCATTAGCAGTTGATGACAAATAATACCTATTATTCAATACTCCCCTCACATCAAAACAATATCTTGTAAATGTCAACTAGGGAATTTGATTGCACAGATTATTTTATCCAGTGTCAGCAGTTACCAATTCAAACCACTGTCTCAGAGCATCACTCAAAACAGCTGGCAAAGCATTGATGTCTCGTAATATAATGTAAAACGGGAAAGGGAAGTATTCCATGTATGATCGTATATCCATAATCTGACCACCACTCTTGAAAACTGGTACTTTGATATCCAGGATAGAGTCCTGTAATGCAAATGTTGGAAATGTAGAATTAATTACTGCTTGTTTTTCAGCATCATTAGCATGTGGTTTGTTGCAGGTGTTGTACAGTCAAACATATGTTAGTGACCACATTTATATAAAGATACATGCCTATGGTCACCACTTTTAGGTAGCTTGAGAAGGTTACACGAGTTGCGCACTCCGTAGTGCTCTGAACCCAACACGCACCTGACAGAAAGATGTTTTTGTCAGTACAAATCAAATTTCAAAGAGTAACCATTCAGGGCAGTTTGTTTGTTGACATAATGTGCTGGCAAATTTCCACCCAATGTTTATCATCTTGTTGAAAACAGTTTGATTTTTGCCGACAATGTAAACACAGCTTTGATTGATGGAGTTACCATGACCACCAAAATAGATTTCATTGACACTCATTGCAAGAACGCGTGAACTTTGCAAATTTTAAATTTGTTCATGCTTGATCAACTCCAATAAATGCACATCTTACAGCAGTACCATCTCATTATTTTATGGACAAATATGCCAAATGTACAAGTTGGTGAACCATAAAAATATAATCCAATCTCTATATGAAGTCTACATTTCTATAATTTTTTTTTTAAATGCATTCCCTTGTGTAGTCGCTATACATACGTTTGACTGTACTAACAAAATAAAAGATTAATGCAAGAATATGAAATGTTCATGAAACTCAAGGATATATAGCATCATCACAATTCGGAGATCCTCTGAAAATGTCAAATTTTTCAAGATCAATCAAATAGAATGTATTGCATCCATCTTGGTTGTCTAAGCATACAACATGATCACTACATTAATACGTACCTTATTATTCGGATTGTCCAGCACAACAAAAACAATAAATATGTGAGCCTCTTTCGCAGCTCTGACAGCCGACTTGACAACTTCAGAACCTTCCAAAAACAGCCCTCTGCCATCAGACACAATCACTAGTAACTGAGAGGTGTCCGGATGAGAAGTGCCGGAGTGTTGTCGACTTCTAGCAGCAAGCATGACCCTAGTAGCATTGTCCAGTAGCTGGGAATATAAACAATATAAAATAAACAATATAAAATGACGGTTTTCTTGTTTTTAATTCACATGTTGTACCTATTTAAAGTCTTATGATTGATACCAACCAATACATCATTGCATTACAACACTTAAAAATCAACATAAATTCCGGCAATGCCGTACCTGTGCTATTTTAGTTTTCTTTTGTTCAAATGTAAATTGCTGCAGAATCCTGGCTCCTGATTGGCTTGTGAACTGTTCATGAAATGGATGCAAAAGTTGCACCGATTCACCAAAGCTGAAAACAAAAATAAAGTTGTCTTGAGTGAGAAGTCAAAAACTTTACTAACAGCAATGAATTTGCAATATGCCTCTGGATTGATTTATTCAGTCAGCTGAGGAAACTGTGAAAGTCTTATTAAACACGTACATACCTACACACAGAAAGCTCTCCTGCTTCGAGCCATGTTAATGCATTACTGATTACAGCCAGAGATTCAAAGGCCAACTGAACAGAGAAACAAATTAATATTAATGATATTTTATACCACATTTACATATTATGAACTGTTTCATGTAAATAAACAATGTATTTTACACGCGTTGTGTACGTCGCTATGAGTCCCATATCGAACAGGTGGCACCGTGATGACTGCCGCCCTTATATAATATATTGTGATCAGCAGACATATAATCCAACTGAAGGACTCAAGAACTTCATATAACTTTAGGTTAGCTTTCCCATTCTGGAGGTACTTTTGGTTGCAGATCTTCATTTTTGGCATTTCACTTTAGTGCCGATAAAGCACATTGTTGTACATGACATAGGAAAGTTGTAAGTAATAGACTTAGTATAAGTTCTACTGGAAAAAAAAGATGACCAAATTGTATGCGTGCACTTTATGATGTAGATTGAAGTAAAAATATAAACCATTTGCCAAAACACCTCACCAACTTGATTCACCATCGTGGTACATTGGTCTGTAGGGAGTGTATGTCTCTAACCTGTTTGGAGTGATTATCGGCCATACTTGATGAATCGTCCACAGCTAGCATTATTTGATAGTTTCTTTTACTTGGTTTAGTTCTCCTGAGCCAGATTTTATCTTTCCGAAACTGACTAGCGATGTACGGAATGACTTTTCTCATATTCAGTCGTTTACCAGTACGATAATCGCCTCTGTCGATGAAAATAAATTACAATGCTTAACAGAGTGCGAATCAGAGAAAGCTTAGAAAACTTGTGTGTGCCGAGGATATTGGATATTGCATACGAAGTAAAAATTATTTAAAAATAGTACAAAATGTAAGACTAGCCTATTGAATAAAAAAGCCTTTTTCGTTAAAAAAAAATATAGCTCAGCTGTTTGAAAAAAATCTGATCTAAAGAATGGTTGATTATAATAACAGAAAACTATAATAGCAGACAAACATTGTCGAAAACTGAATCATCATAATACCTTAGTTTTGTTGCCTGCGAAGGTTCGAGTACCAGCCTCAACTGTTCACATAGCTCTTGTGATAAACTTGTTGTCAGAGACTCGTAGCGATGCCAAGCTTCTTGGGCAAGTTTCTCCTAAAAACATTCAACATTACAAACACATTAACAGAACTAAAATCTATGTTGGCTACGAGAAGAAACCATTTTCCGGAATGCAAATATACAAGATAGAAAAAATCTGAATATATTTATAAAATATTTCATATTTTGAACAAACCTCCTCAGTTGACCCAGGCTTGTAAGTCCAACTTGTGAGCTGTTGTTCCAGATCAGATCTCAGTTTTTCCACATTAAACTCTGATGTACTGTTTTCAATATCAAGTAATGTGTCTCTAGACGTGTGTATGGTAGATTCCATATGCTTTCCTCCAATACCCTCCTCCTCCCTGTCATCCTTCTCTCCATCAATTTTAACATCTGTGTCATCATCTCCATCACCTTGTGCCGATGAATCCTTTTCTTTTTCACTTTTTAGTTTTGTTGATGGCAAGGTGTCTATTTTATCAGCGTTCTGCGTATAGTAAGAGATTTAAAAAATTACTGAAAATGGACGAAAAACCTTTTCACCACCAGTTCCTGATTTTCATCACAAATTCACAAAATAATCCTGTTTATAGTCTGCACTTCCCTTCAGAAGATTGGGACAAAAACAGACACATTTTTTGAGTAAAAACTGAAAATTGACTCAAATTTTGCCTGTTGGCTTCAAAATTAGGGTTCATTTACTGGAATATTGAAGAATATAAGGAGAAAGTGCAGATACATGTATGTTTGATGGGAAAGTCTGGTGGTGAAAAGGTTAAGCAACATAAATACCAAACAAGTCGTAGTTTTATAATTCATGTATACATCGAGTACACAATAAAAATAATATTTCACCAATAGAAATGAAACTGTTGAAATGCATAATAATTTGGTTAGCTCACATAACTTTGAGCTAAGCAAAATAAAAATCCAAGTTAAATAAAATTTAGACTGTGTGCATTTGATGTGGGTCCCATATTACGCATGGCAATCTATATTCATGTGGGTTGAACACAAACTAAAATATTCCCTAAACACAAATTGGAAGGAAATAGGTTAACTTGCTTCACATTTGAGACATAATTTTGTTAAAACTGGTCAGAGCACTAACCTTATCTGGAGTATCCTGCAATGGCTGCATATCATCAACATCATCTTGTTCCATGTCCTCCACGTCATTATCACTTTCTACATTGGGTACAGGTTGTTCTTGTTGTTGCTCCTCTGTCGCTGCGTCTAACGTCTGTTTATCATGATGTACTGCAGGGTCTTTTACATGCTCATACAGATCAGACGACATTTGCTCGTCCTTTGTAAAAAAAAAAAAAACATCAGGAAAGTTTTTATAAGGGTAGGCAACTGGTGAGAATTGCATGTTGAAGTCATGTATGGTAAATAGTGAGGTGATCATGAAATCACAAAGAAACGTTCATTTTTGTCGTAATAACTAAATATGTGTAAATGAGTGAGAATGTCAAAGAATTGGTTAGTGCTCATGTCAGGTGTTTTTTTTTTTTTAGTGTGGTAACCTTTCATGCCTTTCTGTACAGCATGATCAGCTTCACTCATTTTAATGGTGTCACACCACAATCAAAACTTTCAAAGTATTCATTGAATTCTCTGATGCCATCAGAATTAAGTTCAATTGGCATGTGCTTCAACTCAGAATTGATTTTTTTATTAGTTAACAATTCATATATTTATACCTGTTGTTCCTTATTCTCCTGGTTTCTACCCTTCTCTTCATCAACAGTCTGCAACCGTTTCTCTATTCTCTCATCAGCTGATCCCAAACTACGATCCATACTGGATTTTCCTGGCTTCTTTTGATGCTGTAAAAACAAACGTGAGAGCTATTTGATCACATTGTTCACATGATTTTTATAAGGTGCAAAATCTATACGAAAGTACCTTCAACACAATTGGAGATAACATACATATACAAAATGCGTTACAACAAACACATTCAAGCACATTTAGTTGGCACGTCATATAGTAGAGATGCACTAAAATAAATACATACCAATACATTTGATACTACAATACAAATATCTGCTGAGAAAAATACATGTCCATTATAATGTGACTGACCTGTTTTTGTTGGTTGGTGCCTTTCTTTACAATATCTGATATCATATCGCCTTCGTGACCTTCATCATGTTCTTGTTCAGCCGTACCTGTACTGTGTTCCTGTAAAACATAACATGATCAGAGATATCATATCGCCTTCGTGACCTTCATCATGTTCCTGTTCAGCCGTACCTGTACTGTGTTCCTGTAAAACATAACATGATCAGAGATGATACATTTCATAACAGATTAGGACTTAAAAAACAAAATTATGTAAATACTTACCTCCTTCTTTTGATCCTCTTCACTTTTCCCAGCATGCTGTTCTACATCATCGCTGAGCTGAACTGGATCCTGTTGGGTGTGAGTTTTTTCATGATCCTCTGCTGCCTCAGTTGTTTCCTTGGCAGCAGTGATGTCTTCCGGTTTTGATTCTTCATCAGTTGGTGGAGTAGTCTCTTCCTCATCATTCATAGGGTCATCCTAACAAAAAATGTTAATACTTTTAGAATAAATCTAAGAGAACGCATTGGATCTGACCATATAATGAATGATAAGGCAATATTTTACATTAAGTAAAAAAGAGAAAAAGATCCTCAGGCAATCATTCAGTAATACTCACTGATGGATTAATAGAATAGACAATCAAACCATACAACACTGACCTGTGAATGTGTTCCTTTGTCCTTTGGTTCTTCCTCATTCCCTTCATCATCATCATCTGCTTTTTTATCAACGTCCATTTCATTATCTTTTGCCTCCTCATCTTTCTGTTCATCTTCGACATCAGTTGTACTTTCAGGATTCAATTCATCTGCACCTTCTTGTTCCTCATCTTTGCTTTCTTCATCTTTAACTTCTTCCACATTTGGTTTTGTTTCAATATCAAATGGATTTTCTTCACCTGAGGATTATAGATAAAAACTAAAGATTATGCTAATGACTTTGGACATGCATAGAGTTTTTGCATGTCAGTTTACATTTAATTTAATTTAATACCCACTTCAGAAAATAACAAACCTTCATCTTCTCCATCCTGATCGTCTTCATTCTCTTTATCTTTTCCCATCTCTTCATCTAGATTCAGATCCTCAGATAAATCTAAATCATCTGCGGTGTTCTCTGGTGGATCTCTATTAGCTTTGTTTGGATCTATTTCATCATCATTAAACTCACTCTGAAAACAATGGAAGGTTTAAATTGAGGATTAGGCAAGATTTTTTTAAATATGATGGCTGGGAATTCTAATAAGTGAGGAAAATAGATGGTCTATACTGATTATGTTAATAGTAAATATCAATGCGTATTTTTTGCAGACTTTTTAAATTCCTAAGAATTTCCAAATAAAATTACAAAAATTACTGTATTTAAATTTTATTTCCTTGTAATTATAACCCGGCAACTGATTGCAAATGGACCACGATTTGTTAAACATCGACTTACAACAAGACATTTCTGGAAAATTCTGTTTAATTTTTTCCGTCAGATATGGTGTAATAAATCTTTGTCTGATGCATTAACTATGATAAAATCTGAAATATTCGTACCTCATCTTTTGGTTCAAGATTACGTGGTTGAACTTCTTCATTCTTATCATCCTCTTCATTTTCTTGCTCCTTTGAATCTTTATTTCTGTCATCATTGTCATCTCCAGCACCTGAAATGCGCAATATGAAATGGTTAGAACCAAGACATTCTTAGTATCCTGCATACAATATGCACTATTTTCAGCTTATCAAGTTATATTTTTAATATTTGCATGACAAAATTTAATATTTGCTTGGAAATATTTACAATGGACGACTTCTACCTTGATTATCATCCTTAGCAACAAGCTGAGACTCTTCCTCATCCATTCCAGGTCCAAATTCATCTTCTTTCTGCTCTCCATCTTCTTCCTCGTCCTCCTCATCACTCCCCCACATTCTTTCATCTAATTTTTCCTCGTCTTCTCCATCAACTTTACCCAACTGTTTATCTAATTCATTCTCATCATCTCCATCACTTTCATCTGAGCCATCTTTTTGATCTGTGAATATATACAATAAATATTTACCGTAAAAACTCAATCAATTCGACCATGTAAAAAATAAATATTTTTGGGGGTGGGCCAATTGATTGAATAAATGTAGAAAATATGTTTCCGAAGTGGTTGATTTGTTTGAATAATTTTTAAACGTTTTAAAACTGGGTTCGAAGTGTGTATCACCGGTAACTGAATAAATATATCGTTTTCCCCGAGATTAGAGTAAAGGTGTAGTACTAGTCTGAGACTTGACCCAATTTTAAAACAAACTACAAGTGCGTTCAAGAAATCTGACGCAACCAGGCCACCTGCTGTTTTGTTGCCGTGGAGACGACAGTTTTATGTCACGCTCCCCGTAAATGTAAACAAACATGGTAACGTGAAAAACTGAATAAATATATCGTTTTCCGGGATTAGAGTAAAGGTGTACCGGTAGTACTAGTCTGAGACTTCACCCAATTTTAAAACAAACTACAAGCGCGTTCAAGAAATCTGACGCAACCAGGCCACCTGCTGTTTTGTTGCCGTGGAGACGACAGTTTTATGTCACGCTCCCGTAAATGTAAACAAACATGGTAAATAGTGAGGTAACTCACTGGAATAGACTAGAATAGAATTATGCTTTATTGCTAATTGCTGTACTATTTTTTTGAAATTATCTACAATCCAGCCGGTGATTTTATTTGGGTTAACCAAAAAAAAAAGAAGATATTTTGACGTGCTGCGTGACTGTGTAAACAAGACCATGTCCAATAAAAATGACGCTTTCACGCTACACATTGGCGACTTTGTATCGACTTACTGGAAATGCCGAAGACGATACAATTTGCAAGTCGGCATTAATTAATTTCTTACCCCGTTAAAATTAATAATCTACTTGACTTTTAAACAAACAACTCTGCAGGACAATGTTTCGAACATTACTGAAACGACTGTGCTGAAACAATCCAGCAGATAATTTTATTTGGGTCAACCGAAAAAAAGAAGATATTTTGACGTGCTGCGTGACTGTGTAAACAAAACTATGTCCAATAATAATGACGCTTTCGCGTAACACATTTGCGACTTTGTACGACTTGCTTGAAATTTCAAAGACGAGAGTCAAGTGTCGGCCTGAATTTTGTTGTCCCTAAACCATGGAGCTTCGTTTCGTCAGTGATTGCTAGCAATGACTTAAAGTATTTGTTCGTTGTCGATATTTTTGGCGTCGTGATGAGAATTTTCTTAGCGATTATTTACAACTGATGTACTGGGTAATTTGTAATGACAATCAACAGAGTATATTTCACCATGGACGTACTAGAGATTTCACACGTCTTTTGTACAACCACGGTTGACACCATGACTGCACATCTGGCGGATATCCCGATTGCTTATACCATGGATGTAATG